AAAACATGTCCTGCTTTATGTCCTTGTCATGGCAGCCAGGGATGCAGGAGACATGCAAAATCTTGAACTTGGGTCTTGGGAGGTAAATCCTTTTGGTTTGCCTCACTCCAGGCTGCACCTCTCGCTCAACTATATTGTTATCTAATACAGGGCGTGAGGCGTGCTGAAGAGGAAACCCCTGGGCAAGAGAGGTGTTTTGGGGCCTTCCAGATCCCCCCTCTGTCCTCCGGCTTGGTACCAACATGGAGCTGGCATTGTAACGAGCAGAGCCTTTGGACAGTCACCTTGTGGACATGCCCTGCAGGGAGAACATCTAAAGCAAGTAGCAGAACCTAAACAATGAGAGTAGGAAAGTGTAAAACAGACTGTTAGTTTCCTTTCACCCATGTGCCCCACACAGCCAGGTCATAAGGCAACTACCCTTTCCTGCCTCATTCTCCAAGTTGGGAAGTGAAGCTGGAAACTGGGGAACAGAGCCAGATGAGAGCGCTGCATGTGCATCATATTCTAACCTCAGGGACTCCGTCCACCCCCTGGGCAAGAATCATAGTTGAAATATTCCTGCCAGCAGCAGATTGCAATGTCGGGTGATGGGACTGTACCTCTATTAGTCTATACAGATAGATCCACAAGATCCCACTGACAAGTTTATATCCTGATGTATGTGTAATGCCAAGAGGTGGACTCAAACATGAGCCCTTTGGAGCGTCAGGCAGGAGCCTCTATAGCTTGAGCTAAAAGCTAGGTGCTTCTCAGTTAAAGCTATAGAGCAAACTCATTATTTTCTCACTGCAAGTGGGCAGTGCACCACGCCCAGCAGGTGGGTGAGTTACGTATGCAGCATACATCGGGATATAAAGCACTGATGAGACACTGATTATCTATTGGGTTTTCTTCAGCACATACATTTGTCAAGCAGAACTGCCTCCTGCCCTTGAGCTGCAGTGCAGACAGAACCAACTGCATAACTCTCAAATAAACACTCTGTAAGTCAGCAGCCAGAGTCTGACAGCGTCCCTATATTTAGCCAGGGGGCATTCTGCCAAGAAGCAGGTGACTGCCTGGCAGAGGGTCCGACCATTTGGGTCTTCAGTAAGCAGAACTATGTAAGTCCAGACTCGCTGGCCAGTGTAGCCTCCCTTAATAATTTTCCTACAGATTTTCCCCTTTCCTGCATCTGGGCCCAATACTGCATCTCCTTCCCTGGCTCACCAGAGGAGTCACTGACACTACTCATCCATGCAGGCCTGAGCCTTTCTTGGCTTTTATTTTTGTAAACTTTCCCTCCCAGTGGAGGCTCCTAGGAAATGGTTTGACCCTGGAGTCTGTGCAGTACGGCTGGGCCCTTACTGCACAGCCAAAAGTTGCAACTGGAATCCACAGAAAGGCAGCCCCGCACCTCAGCTCCAGGCTGCCGTGGGTGTTGGCACGCCAAAGGGATTGCTCACAACAGGCTGAGGTGCATGGCAAGAAGCCAGATCCTCAGCTGGTATAAGACAGCCTAGCTCCACTTCGCTGGACTTTCTCATTGGCCCAGATCCATCAATGTATTTAGGTGCCTACCTCAATGAGAATTAGGTGCTAATATCTTTGAGGTTCTGGGCCCTTCGGCATTGGTGCAGCCACACAGATTTTATACCAGCTGAGAATCTGAACTAGGGATGTAAAATCCCGATTAATGAGTTAACTGGCTAAACGTTAGGTTAGCCAGTTAACTGACTAGTGGGGGCTGCCACCAGCTCTCACCCCCCATGCTGGGGCTGATTCTGCGGCTCCCAGCCCCTGCACAGGGCTGAAGCTGGCTATGCCAGCCACCAGCCACGTGGGGCTAGCTGCTTGGCCCAGCTGCCAGTTGTGTGGGACTGGAGCAATCCTCTGCCCGTGGCAGGCCACAGAGTCGGGGGCTGCTCCCTGGGGAACCAGTTAACCATAACCCTGTACCGGCTGATGCTTACTGGGTAGCAAGCTAACCAGTTACCCATTCACATCCGTAATGTGAACCAAGCCTATTCTGCTTCAGGAGAGCAGGTATCTGGTTTCATTGGCTCAGAGATGGCTGCTAGCCACTGAGCACTCAGATTTCTCCCATTGATTTCAGCTGTTGTTGCACAGCCCACAGGGGCCTGGGAGACCGTAGGGCTTCGGAACGGTTTTCACACTGAACGCTGCTGGCTTTTACTTGGGGGGGAGGAACATTTTTCAAGACTCCTTCCCGCTAAAGTGACTGTTGATTCGCTCTACACAAAATTCCTGTCACGAGGGATATTTCCTCAAACCATGTTGCTTTGCAACATGCCGTGAGCCCGTTGTTGCACTTCTCGGGCCGTTGCTGACCCATGCACTTGCCGTGCATCTGGAACCAACGCTGCACCTTGTCACGTATTAGGGCTAAGACTGATGTTACATAATGAATGGGCAGAATTCCTCTCTTGGGCTATGTCTACACACGCAGCTACTTGCACGAGAAATATGCAAATGAGGCTAAGCATGGAATATTGCCGAGCCTCATTTGCATACCTAATAAGCCACCATTTTTGCAGAAGAGGCTCTTGCGCCAGAAGGAGCTGTCTACACTGCCCCTTCTTGCGCAACAAAAACCCTCTTGCGCAATGCTGCTACGCTGATTATTTTCAGGAATAATGGCATTGCGCAAGAGGGTTTTTCCTGCGCCAGAAGGGGCAGTGTAGACAGCTCCTTCTGGCGCAAGAGTCTCTTCTGCAAAAATGGCAGCTCATTAGGTATGCAAATGAGGCTCAGCGATATTCCATGCTTAGCCTCATTTGCATATTTCTCGCGCAAGAAGCCGTGAGTGTAGACATAGCCCTGGACTCCAACAGTTCTCTTATATGTGAGCTCTGCCCTGTTCTGATGACCCTTGAATCAATGTACTACAGGTAACAAGACTAAAAGAAGATTAACACTATTGGCTGGGCTTGTCCTCACCTTTCTTTTAGAGTAATAGCACCTCCTCATAGGGTGTGGACATATAGTTTAGTAGATGCGTTAAGATGTAATTTAACTCGAATGTTGAGCATTCACACATAATTAAAAAATTTACATTAAATCTGGCATGATTTAGTATTTTTTCTTTCATTTTTCAGGAAAAATGGCTGACCACATATACCTAATGTATGCTGAGTCTGTGTGTTCCAAGCCTTGCACTGGACACTGAACACTTGAGTAGGAACACTCCCCCTCCATGAAAAAAACCAGCAGACTGGGATAGACAAAATCCACAAGATCGGACTTGCGGAGTTTCTGCTGTATACATCTGTTGGGGGGAGAGTAAACAGTGGGGTGATAACATCCCAGTACTGCAGATCACAAGGATGCATGATCAAGGTGTGTAGGAGCCAGGCTTTCTGTGGTTGAAGCTGTGTCCTCTGTCAGCCCAGTTTCTCACTGACATCCTTACTGATACCACTAAAGTGCAAAAAAGTAGTGGGGGCTACCACTTGAAGAAATGCTGAGGGTCCCTTGCTGATATATCTACTGGGGTTGCAGAGACCATAGGAACTGTAGAAAATTGATAGGGGAAGTAAAGGACTAAGAGACCTCTCCAACCAGCAGTGCTAAGGACAATTATCATTAACAATGTAGACAAGGCAAAAGTGATCAATACATATTTCTGTTCTGTATTTGGGGCAAAAAATGTCAGTGTCAGGATTTCATGTGACCAATAGGGCGAATGCAATCCTTGCATGGATAAACAGGTGTGTCACGGGATACACTCCCTGCTAGTGGCATCTCCTCCTGGCTGTCCTAGGGATTAGCTCTGGCCAGACATTGTGCCCTCCTCCCATGGTGTCTCTCCTGTCATTCTCTCACCATCTGCCCTGCTTCATGATTTGGCCCTGCAGCCCCATCCTCACAGGGAAGCATGCTGCATGTATCCACTAGCACTGCCTCTGCAGCTCCCATTGGCCAGAAACCAGCCAATGAGAGGCTGTGAGGATGATGCTGAGGGCAGGGACAACATGCAGAGGCCCCTCTCCTCCGAAGGAGCCTGCCACACAGAGATACAGGCTGTGGGGCTGCAGCAACCAGGGAGCCTGCATGAGAGTCCCCCTGGGTCATGGTGGGATGGATCCAATGTTTGGTGGGCTGGATTCAATCCATGGTCCATATTTTGCCCACCCCGGACCTGATGATCATAATGGTCCTTTCTGACCTTTGAGTCTGTGAAGGCTGCATTCTGCAGTGGCTCCCTGTGCCCTTCCACTATATTTGCAGCCCTTCCTGCCCCAGGCAGTCCAAACCCTGTGGTGCTGTAGCTGACAAGCCCTCTTTGAGCTGCAAACAGGGCTCAGGAGGGAGCGTGCTGCAGTTATGGGTCCCCTTTCTGCTCTACCTCCTAGTGCCACTCCAGTCACTCCAGGTTTAAGTCCTCTGACCTGTGCAGAAACGCTGGGCCACCCTGTGCAGAAAGGGAAGATGGTCAGAGAGGCATAAAACCAAGCAGGGTTGCTGAATGTGCAGGGAAAACTGACTCTAAGGGGAAAATCCCCATATGATTGGCTCTTCACTTTATTTCCCTACCTCTGGGGGAATGACAGTCAATCAGAGCTGCTGCACATGCGGAGGGACCAGCTTGTCAACTACACAAGAAACAAGCATTGCTCCTGCCTTGAACCCTGCAGCCCTGGGCAAACCAGCCGGGCAGGGCAGGGCCAAGAAGGGCAGCAATTGCCTCCTTCCACCACTCTCCTGGCAGAAGGGGAAGAAGCGGCCTTTCCCTCCCATTGCTTCAGTGGCTGTCCCCACCACCATATCTATGCGGGCAGCTGGTGAAGAGTCCTCCAGGGCCACTAGCTCAATTACCAATCCTGTAAAGGGGTGAGTCACACACAAGGATGATTAGGCCGAGGGACAGTATGTGGGAGCAGGATTGATGGAGAGATAGGATTTACTGGGGACACATGCTTGGTTGGGGAGTTCTATGGGGATGAAGACATAATCAGCAGGCTGCGGGATTAACTGGTGAGCCTGTGTGTGTGAGAGAGCAGAATTAGTTGTACAAAGAGCTACAGAATTGATTTTATTGTGGGCTGGGTGCGTTATGCAATACATTATGGGGAGCCTGCATGTGATCAGGGAAAGCAGAATGAACTTAGATGAAACCAATTCAAATGTATTCCAGTCTGTGCACATTTAATTTTACTGTCTTTTTATTACTAGATGCTGGCAAATAAGGATTTAGGAGTCTAACTTTAGGCACCCAAGTTTGAAAATGTGGCTTAAGTGACTTGCCTGTTTGTTTTGACGCTGCCTTCCCTGGAGTTCATTATGCATCATTTTGGGACTGATTTCATTATCTTTATTCAAGGTGAAGGAAGAAATGCTCAGGTGTCTGTGGTTTGTAAATGCCATGCACTCTCACTAGGTTCATCAAAGAGAAAGCATAAAGAGCAAGAAAATTGAATCCAAAAGTGGTACATGACTTATGCCTTTATTTAAAAAAAAAAAAAAACTAATCCCAAATTTTTATATTTATTTATGGGCAAAAGCCAGAACCATTTCTCTGATCCTGCCAAACTTTAGAGCACAGATAAAATGGGATGTGCATCCAAATCTCCATTTTTAGTCCACAAAATCATAGCCCGGTTGATGATTTTGCAAAATGAACCTGTCTTTCTTGCTAGTTATTTTTATTTGATGGGAAAACTTGATACATTTGATTTGACAGCATTGCAAAGATTACAAATTCATGTTTCGATGCAGGGTTTTGGTTTAGGCCCATTGTTTGGCATAGACTGAAAAGTCAAACATGTGAGGAATAAAAAGCATTCTATTTTTTCCCTAAGAAGTAAGAAAGCTACAGAGTGAAAACCTGACCCCACTGAAGGCAACAGCAATTTTGCCATTAACTTCATCTGGGCCAGGTTTTCACCCCTAGTCTTTACAGGAAGATAGACTCTACTTTTTGTTTCATTCACAGCACCAGACTCCTAAAAGGAGCAGACATACAAATTATCTCTGAACAGCATAGAATTCTGCTTGTTGTTCCCATGAGAGCCATGCTTTTATGGCAACTTTTCTGTTGCAGTTGCTGAGTGAGACAGCAAGAGGTAGTGAAGACTGACCCGTTTTACAAGTAAGAGGACATTGATAAGGGCTCCAGGACAGCTGGCCTCCCTCACCTGTACCTCTCTTTTCCCTGTCCTTGTGTATGCACACCAAGTGAGAAAGATCTAGAAAATGTACTGAGAAATGCCTGAATATCACTCATAGTAATTAACCAGACTGAAAATTATACGAGTGTTTACCCCGAGTGCATTTTAGGAAGAGAGAAAGTCTCAGTCTGGCATTTTGCCTGCCACACTCATGGCTGAGAAATACTAGTTAAATCCACTCCTAGCATCTGGCAGACAGAGGACTCCCTCAGTCTGTTAATTCACTCTGAGCCAAGCATTTAAAATGGATTTCTGTGTTCGTCAGCATGGCCTCTGAATTGTGAGATGAGCCATGAGTGTATCATCCTGATAATGAAGCCCCGCTCCAGTCCATGGACTCAGAAGGACAGGAAATGGATGCTCTAATGGAATGTACCATAGAATAGGAATCTTACCCATTATGTCACTGTGGCCAGGTTTGGGACAGTTAACAGCAGAAAGTAGTGAAGTTATCTAAAAAAAAATGAAGGAAAATGCAGCAAGAAACATGCTCACCCTTCCCCTCCAAGGCCACATCACCGCACTCATGAAGGGGAATGGTGGAAACCACCAATGTTATTTTGCTTCAGAGGGGGAGCCGAGTTAGTCTGTAACTGGAAAAACTTAAAAAAACAATGAATAGTCTAGTAGCACCTTAAAGACTAACAAATCATGTAGATGGTATGATGAGCTTCAATGGGTACGACCCGCTTCTTCAAATGTCCAGTCATCTGAAGAAGTGGCTTTTGCCCACGAAAGCTCATGATACCATCTACATGTTTTGTTAGTCTTTAACGTGCTACTATTTGTTGTTTTTTAAGTTTTTCAATGTTATTTTGTCCAGCTGGGGAAGAGGGACTATTTCAGCAACAATAGTGACAAGAATTGTGCCTACGTGCAAACTGGGGAAATGGTCCATGAAATAACCCCTGGACTTCTTCAGGGATTATCAACAGGGGAGGAAGATATGCCCCAACAGTCCAGCTTTTTCAAGCCTGACAGCTGAAGCAAGGCTAGCTGACTAGATGAAGCACTGGCTCATGGCAGTAGAGCAATTCCCATTGGTTTTTCTATTTGGGTAGGGTGGACAAAAGGATTCCGCATTGCCCAAAGAAATGAGCAGAAATCTAATCTAGGAACTGGTCCCCAAAGGCTTTCTTGATGCTGTGCGGAAAACAGAGGCATCTGCCCCAGTCCCTCGGTGGTGTTACTAGGTGAGTCCAAATACCGGTAGTGTGACTTGGTCACTTGCACCGGGTTTGCAGGTATTAAGTCAACTTTCCTTTCCTGTGTGACTGTGGCCATTCCTCACAGCACATGGTACAAGCTGTAAAGGCTTTTTCAGAGACTAACTTAACCCTAATTACTTGCAAAGGTCTCATACCAACTAGGTGAGGGGATCCGTTTTTCTGTACTGCTTTCTGGGAGGCAGGCTGCTGCATGGGGTGAGCTAGAGGGGAGCAAGGATTCTGGCTTTGCCACAGTTATGGTGGGGGGAGAATTTTAAGTGTGAAATTAAGACTGGTTGGTTGGTTGGTTGGTTCTCCTGGTCCTTGTGGCTTCAGTACGACATCAGCGGGCAGGGTGTTACTGGGGTGCAGCTGGGGTGGTGCTCAGAGGTCTCCTGAGGCCAGTGGTCCTGCCCATCCGATGAGATTCTTTTCCAGGCATGCCTAAGGGGAGACAGCATGGGGAGGGGTGAGAGCTCTGGAGTCACAACAGCACTGGGTTCAAGAATTCTGAGCACCATACATAACAGGGGTAGTCCCTGAGTACGACACAGCCTTGAGGGACCCCTTCCAACCCCCAAAGACCTGAACTACAGTCGTTTGGTGCAGCTGGGCAGCAATCCTCAGGGTTGGTTCCGGTGGCCTGAGCCAGACTTTCACTGGAGGGGCAGCAGGAGAGGGTGGAAGGACTGGGAGGGTATCGGGGGAGCATGCAGAGGGACTCACACAGGGAGGAGGGATGTTGGAGGATGCTGAGGAGGAGGGGAGGAAGGAAATGGGGAGCCACAAAGGATTGCGGGGAGCTGGGTTGAGGGCAACTCATAAAGGGCTCGATCCATAGCTCAGTGAAGCCAATAACAACAGACTCAAAGTCCACATCAACACTAAACCTTGCACTGGTTACCGGAATGCACTCAGAGAGGTCAGAGGTTGTGGGAGGGATGCAGGAGTCCCTGGGTGAAGTTTTGCGGCCTACGTTATACAGGAGGTCAGACCAGATGATCAGGGAGCTCTCTTGACCTGCAACTGACTCCCTGCTTTGGGGAAAGCTGTTGAGTGGCCTAGCAGTTTGCCAGTGGGCTGAGGAGGAGAGTGGTGGGAGAAGGGCAGGGAGCTTCTCTTGTTGCCCATGGTTCACCAGAAAGGATGATTTATCGCTGAAACACAAGCCCAGGCTTCTTGCGTGGTGAAGGAGCAGTGTATGTTGTCAGGTTCACTAATCATGCAGTGGCAGCAGCACTCTGTCATGAAGGGTGGCAGGAACACCCAGCCTGCGCACTCAGAGACACTTCAGTGGTTGCTCTGCAGTTGGTGTCCTCCCAGGAAACAGGGCAACAGACAAGTAATGACTCTGCAAAGCCGAATCTGGGAGGTGTTGGGAAACCCCAGACTCAGCGCCCTGGGAATATCACAGAAGGAAGAGGGTCAGGAAACAGAGCCCAGGAAACACATGGCTATTTCTGGCATAGTTCTCCCAATTCTTCCCTATTCCCTCCCCCACTGTAGTTTTGCAGGAGCTCCTCCTCCCTGATTCTTTCCTCCCTATACTTCCCTCTCCCTCCTCCAAGCTCTCATTAAGGAGACCAGCAAGGAGTCAGGCCAGATCATGTCCATTGAATATTTCCAGGTTGGCCTCTTTTCTAATTTGCACAAGTAGAGTGATCACGACACAAGGGACCATCAGCCCCAGTTCAATCTGTGCACAGGGCAGTTCTTAGAAGGTGCAAGCTTCATGACACGTTCCAAGTCTCACCCTGCAAAAGCCCTGGCGGGTGGTCAATAATGACAACAGACATCCAGGAGATTGTAATCTTGTCTGAGACAAATCATAAGGTGCAGAGCTGCCCTAGAGCTGTCACTCTCCGGTCAGCAGCAGGGATGTAATAGTGTAGTCAATTCACCAATTAACAGATAAGTAAAAGCTTATAGGTTAATGCCATAGATTACACACATTTCCCCCTGACCCTTCCACTAAACTTTTTAGCAGGCTGGCCAGCAGCCTGGCTCTGTCCTGGCTCGTGATGGGTCCAGGACCTACCTCCGCTTTGGCTCTGCATTTAAAGTGTATTAGGAGCCGGGCGGGCAAGCAGCCCTGCTCAGATCCGGCCCACACCAGGTCTGGGAGCTCAGACTCCCCCCAAGACAGGGGCTACTGCCACCCCGTGCTGCTGCCTCTTTATTAGAGGCAGCAGCACAGGGCAACAGGCAGCCAGTCTGCAAGGGGAGCTGGCTTTTAAGCTAGCTCCCCTTGTGGACCAGCTCCCACCTGGCACCCTGCACTGCAGCCTCTGATACAGCCCCCTGCTCCTTGGGAGTGAGGACGGATTGCACTGGCTGCCGGCCCCACCCCCGGGCACTACAGAATAGTCGACTAATGGATAAGAATTCCTGAGGTTACTTGACTATTCAATTAACTGATATTTAACATCCCTAGTCAGCAGCACAGCCCTCCGGTTTTAAGTTAGCTGCGGGTGCTTGGACCTGGCTCACATTGAGAAACCAGGGGTTTGGAAACATCATACTCTCAAATCTATACAGCGTCCAGCCACGCAGAGCCAGTGATTCTTCCAGTCACCAGCTTCAGGGTTCCAAATACAAGACCACACCCCAGATTCACTTTCAGGCTATTGTTTGAATTAAAATTGCTATGAATTACTCCAGAGAGGAGGGCTATTCCATTTCATGCGAAGCATGCTCTGGTATTACCTTCCACACTTCACGCCAGGACCCAGAAGCTTTCCTGTCTCCACTGCTACAAAGCTCTGCCCCTCCAGAAAGTGAAAGACACACACTAGAAGAAAACATCCCTGTCTCCATAGCAGAAAGTACAGATGTAACGAGCTGGCGGTTGCAGTTTCACTGGTTACGTTGCCATCTCACACTCACTGCCGCATCTGTGCCTTTCTCTCTGTGTAACACCAGGGAAATGTATTCCACATGCCACTGCCCTCAGTCCTGCTCAAACTGAAAGGAAGAGGAAAGTGCCCACCACCTAGGCTGTGGTTTTGGGTGATGCTAAGAGCTCTATGAAAAGCAGAAATCAGACAGAGAATTGGGCAGGAAGTGAGGTCATCACTTATAAGCCTGTGGCTGCACTGATGTCATCATGCAACTCAGTGGCAGGAAGTGATATGGGAGCAGAAGTCAAAGAGGAAACCGAATCAAACAACTGAGGTTAACAAGCCTGGCATTCATCATGCGGCGTCTCCAGGGGCTTTCTAAGAAACCAAGATTGGGTTTGGCTCCCCGACGTCAGTTAGCTTGCTTTGCACGCCACATTAAACGCCACCAACGGTAAAGGGATGAGGGTGCAGCTGTGCTGACCGCACATCAGTATTAATGACAACTTCTACCTCTTGCTAGTTCCCATCCCTTACCCACCTAAGGGAAAGCGTTAAAGGACTAGCTTCCTGCAGCATTCACTGATGGTAAAACTTTGTTCTGCAGAAGTCTTTGTGACAGAAATGAGCTTGAGCTGCACACGTCAAATCTGGATTCAAACTTTTCCAAAGGTCTGGTGTATTCAGATCCACAGTTTTAGCTGTTGCCCATCTCTAATGTTGTATGATGATGGTATTATTCTTACTTAGCACCTTTCGTTCTGGAAAATCTCAAAGCATTTTACAATCAGATATACGTGCTCTATACTGTTGTTATTTCATTGACCACTGAAATGTTAGCATCTCTGCGGAAATCCCAGCCTCCACTTAACAGTAAGCAAGTCTAACTGATCAGGAAGAGGAGAGGAATACTGTACTGGAGGCAGCATGGAATTATCCAGGATAGAATTTATCCACGACAATAACAACTTCCACGCTCTCCTGAAAAGAGCAGAGGGGCCTTGATGCCTATTTTTAAGGCCATAAGGGACTTCATCTGTCTGACCTCCTCTGTAACAGCCCAGAGAATTTCATTCATAGATTCATGTATCATGCTCATAATTTCTGGTTGATCTAAAGTGGCCAGAATCTCAATCTAATAGTTTTTAATCCTGTGCAATTCTGTTTATTTAATCCCAGACCTCCTGTGGCAGGTGGTGAATTAGAATTCAGGTCACTGCTCTCTTGGGGATAGCCTTCCTGGGTTTCTTTCTTCTGGATCAGTAGCTGAGGCTGTAAAGGAAAAAAAAATACAGAAATCATGTCAGAGAAGATAACATGCAGAGCAACCCAACCAAACAAATTTGATAAAAAAAAAGTCTTTAATTAACAGCTTTTAAATGATGAGCTGTGCAAGATCAAGGAGATGCCTGACTTCTCAGCCCATGCCCACATTGGCTGTACGTGTGTACTGTATGTGGTGTCTGGTTGTGTGGTGTACTCGTCCAGGATGTGTGAGAGGGTGGAAAGAGATGTTGGAGGCGCTCCGCTACTGTATTTGGGAAGGTGGCAGCCCTGCAGTTTTGCAATGTCATTTTAGTGAGGAACACTCTTATCTCTGATGCAGGTGCATGAGACAGGAACCTGTCAGTTTAACTGGGAAACCCCAGAATCTGCATGTGGAATATCAGAAACACAAATTGATTGCAGTCTATGAAAGAGGAGGGTAGCTGTTCAGTTATGGTGTCTTTCATTTCTAGTCCATTTAACCCATTTGCAGATGCAAAATAAAGAGAATATTATGTGCACCAGTGTGCTGGATATATAGGAAGTTAGATACTCATATCAATTTACCAAGGACCCTGAAACTATCGATGTACCTCACTGGTCTACTATCCTTAGTGTGATATAACAGCATCAAGGAGGAATAAAGGATGGCATCACAATGGGATATGAGTCACTGGTCACATTTCACCATCAATATTCACAGATTCCAATGCAAGAAGGACAACTGTGATCATCTCGTCTGACCCCCTGCACGACACAGGCCATAAAACTTTCCCAAATACTCCCTTTTGAACTAGAACATGTCCTCTTTTTTTTTAAAGGCATCCAATCTTGATTTAAAAATTGCCAGCACTGGACATTGCCACCCTGACATTGGCACATTGTTCCAATTACTCTCACTTAAACATTTACACTTTATTACTAGTTTCATTTTCCACCATTGGCTTGTGTTATGCCTTTGCCTGCTAAATCAGGGGTGGGGAATCAGTCGGGGGCCAGAGGCTGCAGGGAGGTGGCAAGGGCAGGATGGCTGGCATGCCAGCGCAGGCTCCCCAATGCTGGGGGAGGCTCTAAGGCTTGGAAGCCAGATCAAGGCAAACCAGGGGCCGCATCCGTCCCAGTAACAACTACGGATGGTTCATAGAAAAAGGGATCCTAGAAACCACTGAGATCCAGCCATCAAGCTAACCCCAGCTCCTAGGGTCCTATTAGAGTTTTACAAGTATAGGATAAACACCAAAAGGCACAGCACTTTACCGGCTAGGATGTAATTTAATCCATTTCATAAGCCAAGGAAGGGTAGAACCAGGTCAGTACTTGGAAAGTGACCTCCAATGAAGAAACAGGAGAGGCAGGAAGTAGTACTGGTGACTCAGTAAGGATTTCTGTCAGTGCTAACCCAGCAGCTCAGTGTGGCACCAGGGAGAACAGCACTGCAGGATGAATGTGTCCCATGGCACCTTTTTCAAGAGCAGTGGTGAAAGTCCCAGTGTCCTGACAAATTCCATCTTGGGAAATGATAGTCATAGAATCATAGGACACTAGAACTGGAAGGGACCTTAAGAGGTCATCAAGTCCAGTCCCCTACCCTCATGGGAGGCCCAACCACCGTGTAGATCAACCCTGAAAGATGTCTGTCTACCCTGCTCCTAAATATCTCCAATAATGGAGATTCCACATCCTCCCGAGGCAATTTACTCCAGTGTTTAACCACCCTGACAGTTAGGAAGTTTTTCCTAGTGTCCAACCTAAACCTTCCTTGCTGCAATTTAAGCCCATTGCTTCTTGTCCTGTCCTCAGAGGCCAAGGAGAACAATTTTCTCCCTCCTCCTTGTAACTTCCTTTCAGGTACTTGAAAACTGCTATTATGCTCCCTCTTAGTCTTCCCTTTTCTAAACTAAACAAATCCAATTCTTTCAGTCTTCCCTCATAGCTCATGTTTTCCAAACCTTTAATAATGTTTATTGTTTTTCTCTGGACCTGCTCCAATTTCTCCACATCTTTCTTGAAATGTGGTGCCCAGAACTGGACACAATACTCCAACTGCGGCCTAATCAGCACACAGTAGAGTGGAAGAGACTTCTCGTGTCTTTCTCATAACACTCATGTTAATGCATCCCAGAATCATGTTGGCTTTTTTTACAACAGTATCACACTGTTGACTTATATTTAGCTTGTGGTCCACTATGACCCCTTAGGTCCCTTTCTGCAGTACTCCTTGCCTAGACAATCACTTCCCATTTTATATATGTGAAACTGACTGTTCCTTCCTAAGTGGAGTACTTTGCATTTGTCCTTCTTAAACTTCATTTTATTTACCTCAGACCATTTCTCCAGTTTGTCCAGATCATTTTGAATTATGACCCTCCAAAACACTTGCAACCCTTCCCATCTGCAAACTTAATAATTGTACTATGCCATTATATAAATTGTTGACAAAGATACTGAAAAGAACCAGTCCCAAAACTGATCCCTGTGGATCTCCACTTGTTATGCCCTTCCAGCTTGACATGATTATATTTTAGATCCCTGGATTCCCCTTGTAGTTTCATATGCATGAAGTGTCTTTCATTCTTTCCGAAAACTCTTGTATGATGTTGCTGTGCACTGCTCAATTCCTGCTCTGTTCCACCCAGCCTCAACCTAGGCACTGAATGAGACAGGGAAAAAAATACTATGGGATCATATGATTAAAGACTGTATTATCTGCCCAAAGATACGCATCAGCCCAAAAAAACAAAATCAAAGTTGTATAGGCTGCTATTCCTCATTTCTGAGTGTTTGACTTTGCAACTTTAATGTTCTTTTAACTAGAGCTGGTCAAAATCAGAATTTCTGACCTGTGGAAAGTGGTGATATTGTGGAAATTTGGTTTCAGACTGAATTGGGATGGAAAACTGAAATATCAATATTTTTCAGAGAACAGTAAGTGAAAAAAAAAAGATTGATTCAAAACCTTTCATTGCAACATTGCTGAATCAAACGCTTTCATTCTGGTTTGCTGAGCCAATTGAAATGCTTAATGAAAGGTTGGTTCAACATTAATCTGTGCCAGCATAAGCTACTATGGTGTCTCGTGGAAGTTTCAATTCCGGGTCCCCCTGTTTTCCTCTGTGGGCTGGTGCTCCCTGTCTGGATTAGGGTTGCCAGATAGCTTCACAAAAATACCGAACATGGCGAGAAATAAATTGGTTGAGCAAAAGCAAGCAAACAAAGTTGTTGAGCCAAAAAAAAAAAAAAAAAACCCACACCCCACAACCGCACCAAAACAAAAAGAGTCAAGGAACCGTTAAATCCTCACGCTTACTTTGCCCCCTCCAGATGTGGCAGGGGAAGAATGTCCCAAAAGGCCTTCCGTCTGAGAAAAACAGAAAATACCAGACAGTTTCTGTTTTTTTTACCGGGCAGAAGCCGCAAATACCGGACTGTCCGGGCCAACACTGGACACCTGGCAACCCTAGTCTGAATCACATCTTCATGATGCAGATGCACAGTCATGATAATTCCCATGATATATCACGTGGTTTCAACCAGAGGGGAGACTGTGGTGCACAATGGGAAGTGTAGTCTACTCAGGGAGTCTGACCCTCAGAGAAGAACATGGGCCCAGAGCACCTGAGGCACTGTGTCAGCTCAAGGTGGACACAGATTAATATCCAACTGACCAGAAACAAACCTTTTTGATTGTATTTGAGCTGGAAATGTTCTGATTTGAATCCTAGACTCATAGAATACTAGAACTGGAAGGGACCACGAGAGGTCATTAGCCTATCCTTGTGGTTGTGACAGGGATTCTCGTTTGACTCCTGGTGGACATGGACTCCCATGGGTGAGTGGTGACTCCTGGGAAAGGTAGTGTCACCAGGGGGCTGTGCTGTGGTGTAGCTGGGGTAGGCAGCCCCGCAGAGCCTGGGGTGGGAATCCCCACCAGGCACGTGCAGGTTAAGGTCAGCGCATTTGCCCCACGTTCACTTTGTGCCTCTGTACTGACCTGCTAGTGCCACACCCCACCCTGCTGCTGGCTGGCTGTCCGCTAGCCACATGTGCACGCCTCCAGCACCAGCTGTGTGCAGTACTTGCCTAGGCTTTGGGGGCCTGGCTGGGCAGGGCAGGGGCTGGCCTTTCTCTGCAGATGACAGCTGATGACTGCAGAGCCTGGGTGACTTGCTGCGGCCAGGGAGCCAGTGGCAGAGTGCGACATGGAACCTGGGGCCCCTGCCCACTTGCTACCTGCTTCCTGAGCTGGGTGCTCCTAGGGGGTCTTGGCAGGAGCCTCGGCCCTGTGCCCAGGAGCTTGCTCAAGGGTCTGAATAAGTCAGAGCAGCTCTGCCATCAGGGGGCCAAAGCCTTGGCCTGCTGTTACTGTAGCTCACAGAGCATGACAGCTGGCCCATGGGACCCAGGATTCTCCATGTGCTAACTTCTGCCGCCCTCACTTGGCTCTGTGCTGATGCCTGCTGGGTGCACGAGTGGAGAGGTGCTCATCTAAGCTCTGTGTGCCCTGCCAGCTCAGGTACCCACTCACCATGTGCCTTGTTTAGGGTCAGCTCCCATGCTGATCACTGGTCATCACGTCTAGTCCTCTGCCCCCATGGTATCTCAACCCAAAAATATCTATTTTGTTTTCATTTTTTCTGATGGGAAATAAAGTTCCCTGTGGGAAACATTTTAGTTTTGTGGAAACTGCCATTTCCAATGAAAAACTTTCACGGAAAGTTCCCCAACCAGCGCTACTTTTTAATGTTGGTAATTTAAAAATAGCACAGGAAGTTTTAGCTGTCAAAGGGCAGTGCAAGACTATGCCACACGGGGACAATTTTTATTTTACTTGGGTTTGTGTTCAATTACACTCAGTAACTCTCACTGACTGTGGATGCCAGTCTGTCTGAGGTGGTCAGTTATATGGTTCTCATTAACATAGCATTGTAGTGTCTCCCGATGGTGCAGTTGGGGAAAATGAGGCACAAATAGCCTGACTTGCTCAAAGTCACACAGGAAGTTGATGGTAGAGCAGAGAAATCTAGTCCCAAACTAGTGCCCTAACCACTGGACAATACTTCCTGTGTGGGATCAGCCTTTTCAGTCTAGATCAAGTTAGAAGAATTTCTTAGTCTCTTTCTCTCAGTTCTTCCTACTCCTTACCTCACTTCCCTTTTGGATCCCACAGGAAGATTTTTGCATGTCTCTGAACTCATACCTGGCTGGCTCCACTCCACCCATCGCACCCCACATGCCACCCAGGGTGAGTCTGGCAGGGCTGAGAGTCATGGCTGAGCCAATCTCCTTCCTACATGTTTGTGTCAGTTTAACCACAGGGCAGCCTGTGCCTGCAGGTGTTTAACAGCTGGCCAATGCTCTGAATCTAGCAGAGAATCCCTGTCCCCCTCCCCACCACCCGTCATGCTCTTTAGGGAGCCTCAGTTTTCTGCATATTTATGTGTTTAGATTCTGCAGCTCTGAACTAATAGTGCACCCAGCACTGCTAAGCCCACTGCTCATCACTCCCACGATGAGTCCCACCATTCCATGGACCCAGCCCACCAGAGCTCCCCTCACACAGGTATCCAGCTCACCCATCTCTGTACTGGCCTGGGAGAAAAGATGGGCCTGGGCAATAACTAGAGATGGCCACACTCACGGATTATTACAGACCATTGGTACATTTATTAGGAATGTAAACAAACCACCACTGCCAACTCTTGTCGAGGACTGGTAGCATCTCCCCTCACATATACCTACTCTAACATGATAGTAACACAACTCCCTGGCATAGGACACCTTTGTCTATCCACCTTGACCAAGATGGGGCACTGACACCCCCTTTGCCTCCTATATCTCTTCACAGAGGTTGAAGTTTGCTGCCCTCAAGGCTGGACTACTTGGAAAATCCACATGACAGCAGACCTTAAAAACCACAAGTGTTGAGAATAAGAACAGAGAAAATGGAATTTAAGCAAAAGAAGCATTTTGCTTAATAGCACTTCTCATATGCTGAACCAGCTGTTTCCTTCTCACCTCAGCTACAGAGAAGAAAAGACATCCTGGCAGGCTCCTAGGGTGTGTCTAGACTACATGGCTCCGTCGACGGAGCCATGTAGATGAGTTTACTAGACATAGCAAAATGAAGCGGCGATTTAAATAATTGACGCTTAATTTACATAAAAATGGCCATCGTGTTGTGCTGATCATCTGATTGTTGGCACAGCGCGGTAGTCTAGACGGGGATCAGCCAACCCCAGAACCCTTTGTCGTCAGATCCTTTATGCCTCATGAAACTGTGTCCAACTGTGTCCAGACACTCCCCCTCACCACCTGTTTGTCAAATGCTCGCTCCTGGGAGTATTAGTGGAACTCACCTACCAACCCTTCCAGGTCATGGCACTTTCCCCCATAGGAATTCCCTTCCTCCAAGCATCAGGTGCAGCCCTTCCTTGGCTCTGAGAGCAGCCAATGAACCTATCCAGCTGAAAGGTTTGTCATGGGTCTATCCATTCTTCTGGGGAAAGGTATCTGATCATGACTTCAGTTTGGTTTGGGTGGTGTTTTTCAGCCCTATCCTCCCCCCTTACTCATCTTCCTTGGTTATAAATATAGAGCATTGACTAATCAGATCATCTGTCATAGGAAGTATCTCAACACCAACCAATTTGGTCAAAGCCATCAGAAGGCTGGGGAGTGGGAAGCTTGCAGAACTGATTTAACACAGCACTAGTTTCTGACACAAGTTCCCAAGGATGCCCGTGGGTTCCCTGAGCCCCACCTCCAACAGCCTTCTTGGGGAGGAATGCCTTGGGATGCACTGCGATCATCCCGGATAGCAGACCACAGAGTTTCACCCAGAGATTCCTGCAACAAGCCCAGATCTTGTGGTTGAGCTAGACCACTCTCTTTAGGAAGACACTTAAGCTTTACTTAAAGACTTAAAGGGACAGAGAATCCATCATAGTCCTTTGTAAACTGTTCCAACAGTTAATTATACTCTCTGTAAGAAATATACACTTCCAGGTTAGAAATAAGACATCTAGCCCTTGAGTCTCATTATGCCTATGTCTGCTAGATTAATGAGCCCTCTACTATCAGAGTTCTAGGTCTCTCATGACCTTCTCTTTTGCTTGAATTCTGAGCTTCCCCTTTTGAAATGAACCTGAAGTCTAGGGATCCCTCTTACTCTGAGGAAAGCACCACTCTTGCTGGGAAGCTCAGAAATCCTTTCTCTGCTTTTGAAGCATGGGGAATGGGGAGTGGAAAAGAGATGCTTTCTGATGTAAATGTAACCCATTACCAGAAGTTCCTGGCTCTCAGGTTAGCAGTGTTTTTGCAGCATATTCTGTCCCTGAGGGTAGGAAAGGAGGAAGAACATTGATCTCCTATCTGGCCAGATCAGTGCTCAAGTTGAATCCAGACCTTCCAGGCTAAAGAGCATCAGCACAGCTAAGGATCTTGGGAAGGGAAGCAGATCATAAATCTGGGGGATCCTCTGGGCTTTGAGAGAAAGAATGCAAGGAGAAGGAACACAAACATTTCAGCACTGTGGTACTCACCCACTTTCGGGGGCGTCCTCGTGGTCTTTTCTCAGCAGAAGATTCTACCTTTAGTTAAAACAAAAGATGTCATCTAGTCCTCTTTCATAACACATTGCAGTTGTGATCGATACGCTAAGGCCATGTCTGTACTACAGTGGCACAGCGACAGCATTGTAGTGCTACGGTGTAGCTGCTTCCGACAGCAATGGAAGGGGTTTTACCAACACTGAGGGGATAGTAGTCAGGTTGACAGAAGCATTCTTCCATTGACCTACCTGCTTCTACACCAGGCATTAGATCAGCAAGGATACAACACTCAGGGGGTTTGAATCTGTCAATGCAACAGTGCTCAGAGATGTGACTTTTTTACACTCCTGAACACTGGAACTATGTTGCCCTAACTTTTAAGTGTTGGCCAGGTCTAAACTTACTCACGGTCACTTATTTTTAAGGTCTTCCTGTGTGACTGCAGAGTATGATTAGGACTATAACAATTAGGAAGAGGTGGTGGGATCTTAGGAGAAAGAGAAGCAAGCAAAGGACGATGATGAATAAATAAAGGCAGAGGAAGAGAGGGAGGTTGCTGGCCATACAGCAGAGAGGAGAAGGACAGGCATTTGTGGATTAGGAGCAGGTAAACCGGGACTAAGACTATGACACCAAGAAGACATAGCTGTATGGGAGGGAGGACTTGGAAGACAAGTAGACAGATGAAGCAGAGGACTGGAACACACAGGAACAGTCTAGGTGTGCATCTACACTGCACCCATGGCTTGAAATAAGCTATGCAATTTGAGCTACACAAATTGTGCAGCTTATTTCGAGTCAATTTTGAAGTATCTTATTTCGTAATTTGGCGCTGTCAATACAGTGCCAAATTTCAAAATATCCCACTATTCCGAAATGTCCCTTTCTCCTCGTGGAATGAGGTTTACAGGGACGTCGGACTAGCAAGCCCATTATATTTCAAAATAACGGGCACACTGTTAAGATGCAGGATAGCTAGTTTGGGATACCTCTGGTATCCCGAAATAGCTCCACAGTGTAGACGTAACCTAGAGTATTATATTGAGCAGGCAGAATTGGAGGATGTCAGAGGAGAAGCAGGCAAATAAGTATGAAAACTGAAACAACTAGGAGGAGAATGGATGCCAGAGAAGAAAAGGCAAGCTGGTGGAGATTTAGGAGAAGGGCTTGCCAGAGGAAGCAGAGGCAGTAGACTGAGGGAAGGAAGTACATGATTAGGAAGCAGAGGGTGCCAGATGGGATGGTGGTGGACAAGAAGTGCTAGGAGAAGGAAAGACACACTGGAAGAAGATGAGAAGTGGGAGAAGGAGGGCCACCACTAGGAGAAGCAGTGTGACAAGGAGGATAACTATAACTCAGAGAACCATTAGGAGGAGAAGGAACATGATGTTGAGGCTGATGATGACTCAGATGATGGGCAGGACAAGGAAGAGAAGGAGGTGGCCCTGTAGGTGCCAGCAATTTAGTGTGAAAGGGCTTAGGATGACTATGAAGAGACCTAGGCAGGGCTCACAATGAGAGAGAAGGCTAAAGGTGACTAGGCAATGGCAGATGATAGAGGACAATCAGTGGAGGCAGATGGAGGGCACAGGGTGATGATGTAGAAGTAGTTGTGGAAGAGGCATATAAAGTGTGTGGGATCTTAAAAGACTTGAACAAAAAGGAGACAACACAAACTGCCTGCCTTTAAATGAGAGAGCACCTCTCTCGTGCTCCCCCAGCAAAAGCCTGGAGAGACGGGTTTGCTTGCCAGTGAGCTCTGCAGCCTCCTGAACATATGCCATGGTCTCTTACCGTCTGCCCAGCACTGGAACTCAGTTTTTTGCTTCCTTTTGGCCTTCCTCGTGGTTTCTTCAAGGGCAAAGGTCCCAGAAGCTCCTGCTTGGATAAAAAGAGGGTAACCGTTACTCTGACAATCTGAGCACTAGCAGTCAAATAATAACTTCTAAGTATGTAGCCCAGTGAATCTCCTGCTGTGGTCCATGGACCAAGAGCAGAACCCAATGAACTTGCTGGTGTTCCATACCACTGGCTCTGCTCGTTTCCAGTGTCTAAACTTCAGTAAAAGACAGCTAAAGTGCATTTGCAGAACATACAGTATCCAGGAAAGAAGAAGGGTCCATTGGTGCTGGCCTGGGACTCAGATGAAAGGGCCAATTCCCTGCTCTACCACTGGTGTCCCATCTGATCCCGAGCAAGACACAGACGCTCTATGCCTCAGTTCTCCACAGCCATTGTGAAGCGATTTGATACCACAGTAATGGGAGCCAGAGACATCCCAAGACAGACACATATTTTCTGTGCAAATAACTGATAAAGTGATAGTATGCAGTTGGAAATAGGAGGTGTCCATTGTGGCCTACCCTGTGGGAGCGCAACAGAACTCCTGATGTCACGCCCCGCCACAGCTCCCAGGAAAGTCTACAGTACCCTGTGGGAGCGCAACAGAACTCCTGATGCCACAGCTCCCAGGAAAGTCTACAAATTATACTGGATGCAAGGAATCGCTTCTTCTGGAGCCAAATTGCAGGCACTGCTGAATATGGAACTACAGACCAGTGCATGATAGCAAGCAAAGGCTCCAATTTAAAATGCCGAGGGAGTTCAGGAAGTAGTTACCTGAATTGGAATGTTGCCAAAACATCAGGGTTAACACCTCAGCTCTTGCAAAACATACCAAAGGACCTCAAGCGGTTAGGAAGCCCTTGATTTTATGTCACATCCAAAAGACAACACATCTTAAGCAGCACAATGGCACCTTTTTAGTACTGACTCAGAAGCAATTTTGCTTTTACTGGATCAGCACCAACAAGAGAATAAAGCTTTATAGAAGGGAGAAAAAGTATTTGGTGACATAAACCAAACATACAAATAGACACATGCATATTGGCTCAAGTTCTGTTGAGTTCCTTATTTAAACTCTGATTGAAAAAAAACAAACAAAAAAAAAAACCCAAGCAGGCTTCTTTGTTTTGAGGGTGTAAATCAGGAGAATGTGCGATGTGTTGTGTTCATAGCCCTGAAGGCTGAAGTGCACTGTACTAAGATGTGCTTAAGGCATCAGACTCATTTCACACAAGCTACCAGCTTTTCACCACTCTGACCTGATCTCAGTTGGAACCGTCAGCATCACGAAATGAAAGGATCTATACAGATCTTATTCTGAGTTGTCTAGGAGCCACCCACCTACAGAGACAGCTATCAGCAATTCACAATGTTTCAGTTCAGTCATCAGTTCAAAACAACCTTTTCCAATAATTGCATTGTTTGCGTATGTGAAACTAAGCTCCTGCCCTGACTCACTAAGATCTCTCTCCAGAATTCACCATATCTGAAATGTATAAAAATATCAGATGTTTGCCTTTCTGATCTATCACCGATTCCTATTCTTTAAAAAATGCATCTCATTAATGCCTACGTATAATATCAGTTTGTATACCGGGCTCACAAATGAGGGGCAATAAGTTTATCCAGCCAAGGCAAGGATTTTTTCTTGTAAATGGGGAAAGAAAGGGAAAAAGGAAAATAAATACAAGAGCTATCAGGAAAGTGACCAACAGGGAAGCCACACAAATAAAGACAATGAAGATGGTATCAGCAGGCACGTGTTGATTTCAGTTCTGTGGTCTCAGTTGTCAGTGATCCAAAACCTCACTCACTGTCTGAGCATGGAGCATGCCGATGGCCCTATTCTTAACTTGTGCACTCAACGCCCTGGTCTACACCAGAGCTTTATTTTGAAATAAACCCCCTAACGTCAAATTAAAAAGCAGAACGTCCAAACTACCAAGCTCGTTATTTCAAAATAACGGGCCACCTATTTCAAAATCTGTACTCTTGCTTTCCATGGGGAATAATGCTAATTGTAAAATAGTGAAACTACCAAGCTCGTTATTTCAAAATAACGGGCCACCTATTTCAAAATCTGTACTCTTGCTTTCCATGGGGAATAATGCTAATTGTAAAATAGTGGTAGCGTGGACACTCCAGTGCCACTATTTTGAAATAACGACTCCCCAGGGTAATATGAACCAATTACTCCCCAATGCTTCCTGGGGCTCTAAGTTGATTGTAGCACATCCACATTAATGGAGCCTGCCTTGGACTAATTTTGAGGCTTTCCCATAGTGTGAGCACACTATTTCGATGTTGTTATTTTGGGAGTCATTAAATTGATTTTAGTTATTTTGAAATAGTTTCCTAGTGTAGACATGCCCGAAGTGACTTTCACATTCATAAGGGCACTGCACCATATTTTACCTTTGATATATGTGTTATAGATGAGACACTCTGTTTTTTGGGGGGTTGACTATCTTTGGGGCAGTCGTCTATGTGTTTTCTTGATCAGGATTATTCTGAGAACAAACTATGAGCTTTACAGAGTATTCAGCTTTTTTTTTGGTAGTTTTGTTTTTCTTCATTTAAATCATCATTCTGAGGTGGGTCTGGGGATGAGGGGTTCAGGTTGCAGGCTACCCCGGGGAGGACAACCCCAGCCTGCTTTCACCAAGCAGTTTGGGGACAGGTAAGAAATGACTGTCCATGGTAGTTGCAGCAGGCCAGCCATGGGAGGAGTGCATGCCCCCTGGTTAGAGGACAGACACACATAGACAAACTCTCTCAAATATATAGAAGATAGCTGTCCCTTTCTCCACCCCATCCCCCTCCTGGCCCAATGGCATTATAGCTGTCCTGGTTCTCATCTCTGGCCCTTTGCTGCCACCTATGGTCATTCTGCAGTATTACTATCACTCCTGCCACATCCCTTCCTTTCCATGTTATGAGAAACAATCAAATTCCAGGCACATGCCATTATTCTGGCACAACCAAACCCTGACCTTGCTTTAATTTAAGTTTTGATAAGAGGAAGCTGCATACCAAATATGGTGGTCCTAGCTCTTACCATATAGGAGGAGGTCTTGAACAAATGAACTTACAGATGGACAGACAGACAAACAGAGACAGATTCGCATTCTAAAATATATAGCAAGATTTTTCATTTTCACAGTTGCACAAAAGTATGGGGTTTAAGAATGTTTTAGCTGATATAAATTTAGGAGTTAGGGAAATTGTGGAGACAGGGTCAGACAATTATCTAATGACAGCTGATCTTGGGAGTCAAAAAGTTAAAGCTTTGTAACTAGTCAAACACAAATTGTCACCACCACATCAAAATATAGTAAGTAAATAAAATACTAATAAGTTCTCAAGCAACATTTTTCTTAATTTTGCTGATCTTAAAATGTCAGTGATCATTGCTGGAACTATTTTTTCATTGCTTTGTATATGTAGTGTGAAATCGACATTTACCAATGAAAATCTAACTCTGCCCTGCCTATATGTAGGTGTGCACATAGACAGAAGGATGCCTTAGTATATGTGGGTATGCCCATGTGTTGTATATGCACAACACATGGACATATCTACATGTTTCATTATAGAGAGCTGCCTACATTTCATTACATATATTTCATTCTACACATTTCATTGCATGGAGGTGTATATGCTGATGCATATATTTATTAATGTACCTGCACTGTAGCTATATATTGGTGTATATATAGACACAAATACATGCATTTGGTTTTGTATGCATAAAAAATGTGTGTGTTTTATATATATGTAGGACAAAGTGTTATTCATTCCAGCTGTGATGCATGGAATGAGGAGTGAGAGAACATATATCCTCTTCCTCTACCCATCCCCACAAAAGCAAAAAACTCCCTAGTAGGACGGGTAGAATAACTGATTTTTCAATTTAGTTGATGAACCAAAAAAATCCTTCCCGAAATTTGTTTGGGGTCAAATAAATATTGTTTTCCATCTGAAAAGATCATTTTGTTTTCAAGCGTTTTCCACTGTTTTTTTAGTTAAAGGTCTCTGAATTTGAAACAAAAAATGTTTTGTTTTAACTTTTTTTTAAAAAGCATGTCAATTTATCAGGAAATCCCTTCCCTTGCTTTCCAGTTGAAATGATTCAGCAATTCAACCCAAATTTGCAAACCCTTATAGTCGACCCCAAATTGCATTGTTCAGTGAATAAACTATTCACCAAAAAACAATGTACCCAGGTAGAGATGTTAAATTTTGATTAATTGACTAATGGAATAGTCGATGCCATTCAATTAGTCGATAAGGGCACCTTTGCCTTTGAAGTATAGAAACAGACCCAGGGCTTTTGCTACACTTCAAAGGTGAAGGTGCTGTGGGGAGCACAGGGCCAGCGGATCAGTTCCCCACTGGCCCCGTGCTCCCTGGGGTGTATCAAAGTGGCAGCGTTGCGTGGAGCCCAGGGTCAGCTGGGGACTTCCTCGCTGACCCTGGGCTCAGTGTGACATTGCTGCTTTGAAGCACCCTCTTCTCTTCCCCCCTCCCTTGCTGCCTCTTTCTGATAGACAGAAAGGAGGGAGATGACTAGTCGACTAGCATGTTGACTATCCGATAAGCATTTGCTTATTGGAAAGTCGACTGCTCGACTAGTTGTTCACATCCCTACACCCAGCTCTATTCCCCAGCACTCTTGAATGCTGATCTAGGGTCATGGATAATTCTCCTTATGACACTCAATGGCCTGGGGGATGTGGACTGCCAAGTTGGATGCATGGTTGAGACAACTAAGTACTTGCCACTGGCGGCATATAACTTGTAGTGTAACATGCTTTGCCAAGCAGCAGCAGTGTTTACTATAAAGTACCATGCCCCCAGATTGCCACAAGCCATGCTTGTCCTGCAGAGTTTCTTAATTTCATTACAGCCAGCTGTTCTTGGCTCTGCCAGTGAGCCCCTACCTGCTCAGTGGCTACTTACTAATCTAACAGGCTCAATTTTCTTCTTAAGGCCGTGGGCACTCACCTGAGGTTGCTTCTTTGGTCTTCCCCTCTTCCTCTTGGGTGGCTCCAGCAGAGGAGATGAGTCCATTTGCTTCTCATTGCTGCTCATGGTGGCCCTTCCCACGTCTCACAGATGGTGGCCCGACAGGTTATTTTCCCATGGGCAGCTGATGCAATGGGAATGAAAATTTCACCTCCTTGCTCTCTTTCCACTCCGTCGTAAGCAGACCCCTTCTCCACCTGTAGGGACTGAAGTGAGGATAGAATCA